ACTAGAAGCGATGCACTTGTTCCTAGTAGCTTCTTGTTACTACTAGTGCAGCCGACATGGTCTTTAGCCATGCAAACGGACGTCCATGGTCTCTTCGTTCAGCTCAGGCAGCCGAACGCCATGGAATTCTGCGAGAGGAAGTTCAATGGATTGGGCTTGGCCCTGGCCAAGGGGCCACTTCCAGTGAGTAAACCTTTAGTAGACTAGCCAGAATACAACTGTAGATCTACTGTAGTTTGGGTCTGAAAGGCAATGTTTACCAAACCTTGTACGTCTATTATAGTCTATAATTACAGATCTTCTTGCACCTCCTTGGTGCCGGAAGACAACAAAAGTCGAACGAAGGCAGACGTGAAGTTGAACAAAATTCACGATACGCCATACTGGTGGAGCTACCACCGTGGAGCTACCACCTTCGCTCCAGATCTTTGAGTAGGACCTGAAGTCCCACGATGGACCAGTTGTCCTCCGAAAGGGACCTCCGAGAGAAAAGCCACAAGGACATTCTTCCGCAGTCACATTGGGCCCGTATGGTGTGAATGCTTCTTTTGGATGACGCAGAAATAAACAAGTCCACCCCGCAATTGCAACACCAAGCATGCAAAACCTGGAGTACCCACTCAGGTCTATCAATGTTTTTCAAGACTGCATTGAAGTATGACACCTTACCAGTCTGCACTGCACCTTCGGGCAATGCCCGCAGGCGCTGTGCCGGCTGCGGTGCCCGTAGTGGCCGCTGAGGCGTCCTGGCCAAGATATCTCCGGCTTTTGTGGGCAAAGCAATTACGAAACTCCTTGTTGTGAAGGTGAGGGTTCACCCTCAAAGGAACATCCCAAACATCTAGATTGACATAGTCCAAACATGAAGTTCTCAAAGCTCCATACGGAAATCACCACAGGTCGAGTTCGAGTGCCACTGTCTCATCCGTCTGTGACTGGGAAACCTCGAAAGGACTTCCTGGTCATCCTCCAACACAGGGTGCCGGGCTGTTCGTTTGGATTGTTCGTTCCCTTTGGTTGAACCAAGGGGTAATCACAAGGGTCACAACTCCCTGGCTTCTCACCGACCACCTCAACGAGTGAAACGGCGTTCCCTTTAAGGACGAAGAGAGGGAACACCTGCATTTTTTTTCGTCTGAAACCTGCAACCTCTGTTTCTTGGTATGATTTGGGGGAGCTCGGATGGTCTACAAAGAGTCAGAGTAGGCGGAACCTGGACCAAGGACCCCTTCTTGAGACCACTTGTAGGGTGTTGCTATGCTGAAATCGCAACATTCACCGAACCTCCAACCTACTAGCGATGGCCTCCACCCTAGTAGCGATGCCACGCAAAACCATCTGTAAATGAAACAGGTCTCCTACTGTTCGAAGAGACCTGAAACAGGCAGAAACACGTCTCTTGGGAGAGGCATACCGAGGGAGAAACAGGCCGCAGAAGTTCTGTTCGCTCCGCGCACCTCTGCGGCTTGCTGGAGCGAATCCTACGTGAACGCCGTCGATGTTGCCAGTAGCTTCTTGCTACGTTCGTAGTAAGAGTAGCGATGCCAGGAGCCCCGTTCGTAGAGTCCTTGCTCCTGGTAGTAAGGCCAGGAGCCCCTAGTAGCTTCTTGCTACTAGTAGTAATGGCTTCCACCCTAATAGCGATGGCCTCCAACCTAGTAGCTTCTTGCTCGAGAATTTCCGAAAAGAAGAGGAATGAAGGAAGAAAAGGTGAATGGCCATGGCCTCCCACCTAATAGCAATGGCCTCCCATGCACTTTTTCTTTCTCATCTTTTCGGTAATTTAGTATGTGATTTCTCTTTCTTGGATCCCTCGAAAATCGACACACTTTGGATTGAAGTCTGGTTGCTTTAACCAGAAAGCTGCGTGTAGATAGAGCTTTGCTGGCAGACTGGCAGCCTTAAGTTGGTGATTGAACTCATAACCCTTCCGTCCTGCAAAGCAACATCATCTTCTATCAACTTTTGCAAACCCAATTCCTCTCTTGTTTCTTCTGCCTTGAGGGCCTTGGGTGAGCATCCCTATCAGGAACATGAACAGAAATTCCTCTTCCATTCCTATCTTTCCAACACCTTGTGGGAAGGCCATCAATGTTGGCAGAGTCATAGACAAAAGGGCGTAGGAGCAAGGACGCTACTAGGGGCTCCTGGCCATACTACTTGGAGCAAGAAGCTATTAGGAACAAAGTGCATCGCTACTAGGAACCCCAGATCGAGACACACCCCAAACAGGTCACACCAATCCACTCTCGCATCCAAACTCATGAGACTCATGAGTCAACACATTCTTTTGACATCTGGAAGGAAAAGAACAGGTCTAAAGAAAAATGAAAAACACATAAATAACACAAGAACAGAACATAATTAGCGGGAGCTATCCGGCGTCCTAGTAGCTTAAGTAAGGTACTAGCTACCTAGCTACTACCTCTTCTCGGCCTGGGGTAAGAATAAGAAAGCACAAAGGACTCGTGAGATTTACTACTAGTAACAAGAAGCTACTAGGGGCTCCTGGCCTTACTACTAGGAGCAAGGACGCTACTAGGAGCTCCTGGCATCGCTACTAGGAGCATTCTTACTACTTAGGGGCTCCTGGCCTTACTACTAAGAGCAAAGACACTACTAGGGGCTCCTGGCATTGCTAATAGGAGCATTCTTACTACTAGTGACAAGA